AAGCATTAACACATGTTAGACTGCACCCCATAAACACAATCAAGCCTAGAAAAAAACCAGTGAACCACCCCTTTAAGAAACAAATCAGCATATTAGAATGATTTCTGAAGGATCATGTGGCACTGAAGACTGGAGTAAAATAAAAAATTCCATCACAGGAATAAATTACATTTTAAAATATATTCAAACAGAAAACAGTAATAACAGAAAACATTATTACAGTATATTGTCATAATACTTCACAATTACATTTTTTTCTGTATTTTTGATCAAATAAATGCAACATTGGTGAGCATAAGATACTCATTTCAAAAACATAAAAAAAAAAAAACTAATGTATGTCAGCATGTCAACTCATCCCATATCTTTTGCTTTGTTCTGTGACTTTAGTAATCTAAAGGAGTTTGGTCTTGCTTCCATCCTCAGCACCAGGTAACATTCATTGTAGGTGAGTAGCAGTTTAAAACAGACCAGCCCTACAGACCAAAAACAGAAACCTTCATTTATCACTCTGACACACACACACGCACGCACGCACGCACGCACGCACACACACACACACACACACACACACACACACACACAGGAAGAGAACAGACCATTCTAATGCAACCCAACCCAAAGCATAATGCTGTTCATCTTGATCTGACCATGTGCACTATGTCAGGAACTGAAGCAGTGGGGGTTCATCTCTCTCGTCTGTGTGAGAGCAGTTCTGTTTGGGATAGTTACCGACTGCTCTCTGCATCAAACGGCCCTGTGGGACCATGTGTTTGAAAATAGAGGCCAGAGGGTTTCTTTTCACCGACAGAACCAGACATTATCTGCTGTTGATCTCCCCTTTAATCTGCACGGTTCATCACAGCGAACAAATCTAGATGCTGTTGTACTACCACAAGCAGATACACACACCCACACACACAGCCACTTTATTCTTGCCACCCGAGCGAGGGCCATCTTAAAACACACACACCTCCCGTGATGTCACAAATCTCGTCAGCTACCCTTTGACCTCCGTCTCCATGAGATGTTTTTCAATGGGAGGCATCTGCGGTGAGAGCTGAGTCACAGAACGAGACGAATGAGTCACAGTGGCCATTGAGAATGCAATGACAGCATCTCATAGCAGCAGCATGGGGAGTCACACATTCAACATGTCTACATAACCGCACAGTGAGAAATACTCCACAGCTCTCCAGAGCCACTCTGCTGCCAAAACCCTGCCCACATACACGCAATTAAACCGTTTATTAGCGTTTACTTTAACGAGAATGATCGGTAGGCCCATATGGATTCTGCAATGCTGTTTCCGTGCTGATTTTGCAATGCAGATTTAAATAGGTGGTCATGTGATTGGACAGTTTAAACTAAGATGCCTTTCTTTGATTGGATAGGGGAAATACTGCTAATGTCATTAATTACAAAATTACTGATAAAAATGTTTGTTAAAGAGTTTTTATTTCATTACAATAACATAAATACTGCTGAAAAAATAACAAAAATAACAACACATGACATTAACAAATGAACTTGTTTTTGAAGAGAAAAAAAATCTAGAAAGAATATGATTGTTTCAAATAATCCAATTATGTCAGGAATTTGGGGATTGAACAGTCAAGGAACACCGGTAGATTGAACCCCCTTATTAGTGGGTTAATTAACTCACCCAAATCATAAGATTAATCAGATATATATAGAACAGAAATATAATTTTACAACTTCTGCACGAAATGATGCAAATGCACAAGAGAACTTAAGCTACAGTAAGTTCTGCGCTGGTCAGAATGTGCACGTCACATTGAGAGTATGCTCTACATGGAAAATAAACTATAGCACAAAGATTCACAGGATTATATTATTGCACTCAATATAATTTTTTGGAGCTCAGGTTTATACAACAAGGGTTTTAAAATGTTTTATTTATTTTTTATTTTTTTGAAAGACAGATTGAAAGTTATTAACACGACATGACAAAATATTGACTATTATTTAAAGGACCAACTGTAAAAATGAACACTGAGGTGAAATACAGACTTTTGAATAGTGTACAACCCATCGGCGAGTAAAAACAAAGAGCTAATTAAAATATTCAGTGGAGACTAAACATCTGGTTGCAAGCAATGCATTTCGACAGGCAGGTGTGGACATGCTGTGCCTTGATTAGAAAAGTAACCAATCATTATGACTGTACCAATGAGACTGGATGTTAATAAAAGTTGTACAAAGGGCTTATGGGATATTCGTCACCCCCAGCGGCGTGGATTTTACTAAACTTGTTGAACTTTATTTAACTAAACTTGGCTTAAGGGAAAATAGTTAGTAATTCTGAGCTGGAAACGGGCCAGAAAGCAAGAGTGCGAGTGAAAGAGGATGAGGGCATGGACTGTGTTCCTTCGTAGTACTACCACACAAGAATGATCGACTACAGTGTTGCTGTAGAGCTTGACAATCCCATTATGTCAATTACTGTCTGACTGACAGCGGTGTCAGCACTCGAAAAGTAGTGGGACGCTTCCACACAAGCATCACAGCGGCTGCTTGTGTGGCTCACGCATGTGTGTGGCTCAGGCAGTGACAGACACACTCCCTAACAGTAATACATTCCAGGGCATAATGTTTCATAATACCCATGCAAATCCTCATAAAAACAGGCAGAAGTTTTTTCTTCAAATATAACATATACACCATGTCATAGCCATGCACGATGAGACAAGGTTCCAGTGACAAGCAATGGTTTTTGTCTGCAGTGAAACTAAAAATGCTGCGTGATGCAAGAAAATCACAGCCAATCAGAATCAAATGGATTTTATGAGCATTCCCAATACAGTGCAGCTGTAGAATGCATACCTTGTATTTTCATGACTTCCATGATGCTTCAGCAGATGGGATCCTTTTTACAAATTGTCTTGTGGAACTAGAGGAATTTATCATCTAATGTCCTGTGCTGACTGTGGAAGAAATTCTGTGCAATGGATTGAAAAGTGGAAGTATTAAAATGCTTACTGGTAACTGATTGCAATACTAAATTTGCCAAAATATACAAATATGCATGTGGAGGGGGATGTTAAGAACATTGTACCAATGTCCAACATTGTTGGAATGGTGTATGATTTATGTATAAAAACTTTTCAATTTCACATTCAGTGATGTGGTAATGTTGTGTGACACATGCATGGCCTTGACTTGAAATGTTGTTCTGTTTTTATCCACTGCATGCAAAGAGTGTATAGTTATTCTTAGCTTACACTTTTTATATGCAATGATC